AACATAACACAAACAGTTCTACAACAACACAAACAGTTCTACAACAACATGTTCCACTACAACATAACACAAACAGTTCTACAACATAACACAAACAGTTCTACCACAACAAAGACAGTTCTACCACAACAAAGACAGTTCTACCACAACAAAGACAGTTCTACCACAACAAAGACAGTTCTACCGTTCTACCACAACAAAGACAGTTCTACCACAACAAAGACAGTTCTACCGTTCTACCAAAACAAAGACAGTTCTACCACAACAAAGACAGTTCTACTACAACAAAGACAGTTCTACCACAACAAAATCAATTCTACCACAACAAAATCAAGTTACTACAATAAGAAGATGCCTACCATACCACAAAGAGTTCCATCAGAATAAAACTGATTTAGTAACAAATCAAGTTACAAAGTGATCATATCTCTGGAGATATAAAACTAGATTCATTTATTCTGATAATTTAAAGACAGAGAGAAGGAATACTGGGATTAATATGGTGAAATGTCCTCTCTCCTACGTACAATACTCATAAAACATAGCAAAATAGCAGGACTGAAGAGTACCCTTAAGTCAGCTTATAGCTCTAACACTCCTGCACCAATCTACTGTTAGCAAGTCTATGGTAAGGAATCTATTGTAAAGAATTGAATGTTGTATTGGTGGAATGACGTCAAGTCAAGTAGACGGATGGGTGTGATGGCATTTATTAGCCACAGAACTTTCAGTTCAGCAAGGTCTGAATAAACAGAACTGTATGTCTATTTATCAATGTTTATACAGATTAAAGATTGTACACATCCCGATTTCTCATTTAATGAATGAACAGACGAGCTGAGTGTCAGAAGAAGGCTAAACAAACCTGTGAAGTGTTGACTACATCGTGAAGTTTTATTGTATTACACTAACAAGATATACAATCTCTGTGATACACTTTCCACATGTACACATCCATTTGTTACTTTACATCAGTTTACATAACACTGCTCTTAATTAAACAAAGTTTAACAAAGCATGTTTTCATTTTAACAATTTCATGTCTGGCTTTAAGGATTCATGATGTTGCAGATTTTCTACACCCTAATGACCATTTATATAGAGTTCCACTTTCATATTAACATTATACAGAAATCCTACACCCTAATGACCATTTATATAGAGGTCCACTTTCATATTAACATGATGTGGAAATACTGAACTTTTTGAATAAATTCTAGTGTGAGATCACTATAATCTATTGCTCATGTTTGACGCAGTCCAAAAAAAATCTCTGACTGAACAGATTGATTTGGGGTTCTCAAAATCACTACATACAATAAAAAGAGATATACGACAAAATCAACTAATTGACTAAATATGATATAATGGTCACTTAGGGTGAAATGTGTTGAATAAATGAATCCCATTATAGAGTATTTGCTGAATACCAGATAATTAATGTAAGTTATCTTTATCTAGGTGGATCATTATAAACATCCATATGTTCTTTTCAAAAATGGTGACACATCTGTGGAACATGGAAAAACTCAGTTCCATTTCCAAGTAATCACCATTATCTTATATATAGGACATTGTTTCCTAAACATTTTTAAGAGTGACGTACTTCTAAAAATTTATTTGTGCAAAAAAACAGCACAATAATTACAACCAGCATTTGGGAGGCTGTTACTACAGTAACTGAAGCAGTAGTAGTAAATGTTGGAAATATTTAGTTGGTGACATGCCAAGACATTAAAAATGTTCAGTTTAAATCAATTGTATGACTGGCAAAGTTGAAACACAAGCTTTCACTGGAGTTATCATGATGTCAATTAGGTCATCCTTGTGTGTGGGGACTATTAAGCAAATACATACACGCTAGAATTCTTCTCAGGAAGATCAGTTGATAGTGTAAATTTTAAATAAAGTTGCAATCTCTGAAGTTAATTCAAAATTTCTGGGAAAAATATTTTCAATAAACATACAAAAAGTATTAGTTTATGTTAAGGTCAATCTACAGATAGTGATGAAAGGGAATCTCTACAAAAGTATCAAAGTCAAATCTAATGAATGAGCACATCCAAATTTACACATCTATATTGACGACAATGTACTTAAAGAACAGACCAGAAATCCAGAATTAGAAACAAGAAGTTCTAAAATAGCCAGACATGAGGTAGTGTTGGGTCCTTTGGGAGGGTTTATCAGGAGTTCTCCAGGTTCTACATCAGGTAGTCGTAATTAGACTAGTCCCCCAACATTAGCGTGCTCAGGGCTGTTAATAATCTCGTATACTGATGATATTCCGTTTGAACAGATGGGAGGTTTATCTGTCTGAGCTGGTCATCAACAGCCAATAGGTGTGACCATTACTGTGTTGTGGTTTACATGTAAAACATGTCTTCACACCTGTTTACAAAGGTAGCCATGATTAATTAATCTTCATCTTCCAGCTTGATTTTTTTACAGGGTACCAGTATAGACAAGCAGCCTATGATAGGAAATCCCATACTACAAACTGTTATTGCTGTAAAAGGATTGGGTTGGTGTGGCTTGCATATAGTGTTAGAAACAGTCTATGTCACTCAGCTGACAGAGCATACTTCTTTGGCTCAATTGGTAGAGGTGGTCGATTATCATGATAGAAACCTGGGTTCAATACCTGTTATAACACTAGGCAGAAATGTGTATTTTTCCGTTCTTTCACAGTGATGTCCAATGTGACATAGTATTTATATGTAAGCCACACCAACCCACTCCTTTTACATCACTTTAAGCATAGGATTTCCCAGTTCTACAAACAGAGGTACAAAGTACAAGTACCCACTGTTAACCTTATAGGCAGAGTAACAGCCTTCATAGGAACTTCCAGTTCCACAAAGGCAGGGGAAGTCAAGCACAAACTATAACTATACTAAACAACAGGTACATCACACTTACACAAACAGGTACACAGGTACATCTAACACAAACTAATAAACAGGTACATCACACTTACACAAACAGGTACACAGGTACATCTAACACAAACTAATAAACAGGTACATCACACTTACACAATCAGGTACACAGGTACATCTAACACAAACTAATAAACAGGTACATCACACTTACACAATCAGGTACACAGGTACATCTAACACACACTAGATCACAGATACACAGGTACATCTAACACACACTAATTCACTGGTACATCACACTTACACAAACAGGTACACAGGTACATCTAACACACACTAGATCACAGATACACAGGTACATCTAACACACACTAATTCACTGGTACATCACACTTACACAAACAGGTACACAGGTACATCTAACACAAACTAATAAACAGGTACATCACACTTACACAAACAGGTACACAGGTACATCTAACACAAACTAATAAACAGGTACATCACACTTACACAAACAGGTACACAGGTACATCTAACACACACTAGATCACAGATACACAGGTACATCTAACACACACTAATTCACAGGTACATCACACTTACACAAACAGGTACACAGGTACATCTAACACAAACTAATAAACAGGTACATCACACTTACACAAACAGGTACACAGGTACATCTAACACACACTAGATCACAGATACACAGGTACATCTAACACACACTAATTCACAGGTACATCACACTTACACAAACAGGTACACAGGTACATCTAACACACACTAATTCACAGGTACATCACACTTACACAAACAGGTACACATGTACATCTAACACACACTAATTCACAGATACACAGGTACATCTAACACACACTAATTCACAAATACACAGGTACATCTAACACACACTAATTAACAGATACACAGGTACATCTAACACACACTAATTCAAAGATACACAGGTACATCTAACACACACTAATTCACAGATACACAGGTACATCACACGTACACAAACAGGTACACAGGTACATCTAACACACACTAATTCACAGATACACAGGTACATCTAACACACACTAATTCACAGGTACACAGGTACATCACACTTACACAAACAGGTACACAGGTACATCTAACACACACTAGATCACAGATACACAGGTACATCTAACACACACTAATTCACTGGTACATCACGCTTACACAAACAGGTACACAGGTACATCTAACACAAACTAATAAACAGGTACATCACACTTACACAAACAGGTACACAGGTACATCTAACACACACTAGATCACAGATACACAGGTACATCTTACACACACTTATTAACAGATACACAGGTACATCACACTTACACAAACAGGTACACAGGTACATCAAACACACACTAATTCACGGATACACAGGTACATCTAACACACACTAATTCACATGTACATCACACTTAAACAAACAGGTACACAGGTACATCTAACACACACTAATTCACAGGTACACAGGTACATCTAACACACACTTATTCACAGATACACAGGTACATCTAACACACACTTATTCACAGATACACAGGTACATCTAACACACACTAATTCACAGGTACACAGGTACATCTAACACACACTAATTCACAGGTACATCACACTTACACAAACAGGTACACAGGTACATCTAACACACACTAATTCACAGGTATTTCATACATTCACAAATCAACATGTACACATGTACATCTTACACTAATTAACAGATACACAGGTACATATTACACACACTAATTAACAGGTACATATTACACACACTAATTACCAGGTAAATATTACACACACTAATTAACAGATACATATTACACACACTAATTAACAGGTATATATTACACACACTAATTAACAGGTATATATTACACACACTAATTACCAGGTAAATATTACACACACTAATTAACAGGTACATATTACACACACTAATTAACAGGTACATATTACACACACTAATGACCAGGTAAATATTACACACACTACAGGCATGACCCATACAGTCACTACTACCTAGATTACTATATCCACATAAACACTGAAATATAATGTGATATAACATACCTGGTGCATAGGGGAACTCCAGATGAAATATCTTTGTCAGCGCTGCTTGTGCTGCACGAGATTTAGCCATTTTTTTATTACGACCTGATCCTGTGAAGATTTCTCCATCCACTGTCACTGACATTTCAAAACTTTTTGCGTGACTCTCACCCCTCTCCCCAACATATTCATACTTTAGTCCTGGTCGAAGTTCATTTAAAATCATGACAGGATTTTTTCCATCTGGCTGAGCAGGAACGGCAGACTTCCTCTTAGGTTTGCTGGAACCATTTTGTTCCATGGCAGGAAAATTCCCCATTGCATCATTCTTTTGAGATTCAAAGTCATTAAACAACAGCTCATTATTTGAGTTGTTTGCTGTGTCCGATGTGAAATCATCGGTTGTGATGTCACGCCCCATAGCCTTGTGGGCTTCGGCGGCATTAGGGAACTGTACAAAAGACTTCAGAGCCTTCTCCGCAGCTCGAAGTTTAGCCAGCTTTTTGGTTGTACCATTTCCTTCAAAAGTTGTGCTGTTCACCTCTACTGACATAATAAACATTGGGGCATGCACTGGCCCCGTTTGGGAAACAAATCGGAATTCAAGTCCAGGCTTCAGTTCATTGAGCTGCATCAGAGCATTTTTCTGGACGGGTGGACCATGAAGTTTCCTGCGTTTACCACCCGGCCCCATGATACCGTGACGTCGCTTACCCAACATGTCGCCTCCTATTGTGTCATCTGAAATGATAAAATTAAACCAATACTTTAAAGAGGACAGCCAGAAATGAGAAGATGTAAAAGAAAATTCTCTGCATGTGTCATTTAACAGTCACATATTTAATGTGATGTATGGTTAGAACATACAGAATACACCTTAAGTTTAACAAAATCAAAGGATACTGAAGTATGTCATATAGAATACCTTTCTGACTTGTCTTGTTTTCATTAGGCCAAAACACATATCAAAATGTATTTCAGTCATTTATTAATAACCACTGATATATTTGAATATGTTCAGAAATACCTAGAATCTAGCCTTTTTTCTTGTATTCTTGGATATTTAGAGGCTACACTGCTATCTCAATTATGATTTTCCATCTTACTGTCCTTCCCTCTAACTTAAGTTTCACTGCTCTCCATTTAACTTCAGTACATCCATCACTGCTCTCCATTTAACTTTAGTACATCCATCACTGCTTTCCATTTAACTTTAGTACATCCATCACTGCTCTCCATTTAACTTCAGTACATCCATCACTGCTCTCCATTTAACTTCAGTACATCCATCACTGCTCTCCATTTAACTTCAGTACATCCATCACTGCTCTCCATTTAACTTCAGTACATCCATCACTGCTCTCCATTTAACTTTAGTACATCCATCACTGCTCTCCATTTAACTTCAGTACATCCATCACTGCTCTCCATTTAACTTCAGTACATCCATCACTGCTCTCCATTTAACTTTAGTACATCCATCACTGCTCTCCATTTAACTTCAGTACATCCATCACTGCTCTCCATTTAACTTCAGTACATCCATCACTGCTCTCCATTTAACTCTAGTACATCCATCAATGCTTTCTCACTTCATCTGGTGTCTTTAACAATGCTTTCTAACTTTATCTAGTACATCCATCAATGCTTTCTAACTTTATCTAGTACATCCATCAATGCTTTCTAACTTTATCTAGTACATCCATCAATGCTTTCTAATTCTATCTAGTACATCCATCAATGCTTTCTAACTTTATCTAGTACATCCATCAATGCTTTCTAACTTTATCTAGTACATCCATCAATGCTTTCTAACTTTCATCCATCAATGCTTTCTAACTTTATCTGGTACATCCATCAATGCTTTCTAACTTTATCTAGTACATCCATCAATGCTTTCTAATTCTATCTAGTACATCCATCAATGCTTTCTAACTTTATCTAGTACATCCATCAATGCTTTCTAACTTTATCTAGTACATCCATCAATGCTTTCTAACTTTCATCCATCAATGCTTTCTAACTTTATCTGGTACATCCATCAATGCTTTCTAACTTTATCTAGTACATCCATCAATGCTTTCTAATCCATCAATGCTTTCTAACTTTATCTAGTACATCCATCAATGCTTTCTAACTTTCATCCATCAATGCTTTCTAACTTTCATCCATCAATGCTTTCTAACTTTATCTAGTACATCCATCAATGCTTTCTAACTTTCATCCATCAATGCTTTCTAACTTTATCTAGTACATCCATCAATGCTTTCTAACTTTATCTAGTACATCCATCAATGCTTTCTAACTTTATCTGGTACATCCATCAATGCTTTCTAACTTTCATCCATCAATGCTTTCTAACTTTATCTAGTACATCCATAATGCCTTCTAACTTTATCTAGTACATCCATCAATGCTTTCTAACTTTATCTAGTACATCCATCAATGCTTTCTAACTTTATCTGGTACATCCATCAATGCTTTCTAACTTTATCTAGTACATCCATCAATGCTTTCTAACTTTATCTAGTACATCCATCAATGCTTTCTAACTTTATCTAGTACATCCATCAATGCTTTCTAACTTTATCTAGTACATCCATCAATGCTTTCTAACTTTATCTAGTACATCCATCAATGCTTTCTAACTTTATCTGGTACATCCATCAATGCTTTCTAACTTTATCTGGTACATCCATCAATGCTTTCTAACTTTCATCCATCAATGCTTTCTAACTTTATCTAGTACATCCATAATGCCTTCTAACTTTATCTAGTACATCCATCAATGCTTTCTAACTTTATCTAGTACATCCATCAATGCTTTCTAACTTTATCTGGTACATCCATCAATGCTTTCTAACTTTATCTAGTACATCCATCAATGCTTTCTAACTTTATCTAGTACATCCATCAATGCTTTCTAACTTTATCTAGTACATCCATCAATGCTTTCTAACTTTATCTAGTACATCCATCAATGCTTTCTAACTTTATCTAGTACATCCATCAATGCTTTCTAACTTTATCTAGTACATCCATCAATGCTTTCTAACTTTATCTAGTACATCCATCAATGCTTTCTAACTTTATCTAGTACATCCATCAATGCTTTCTAACTTTATCTGGTACATCCATCAATGCTTTCTAACTTTATCTGGTACATCCATCAATGCTTTCTAACTTTATCTAGTACATCCATCAATGCTTTCTAACTTTATCTAGTACATCCATCAATGCTTTCTAACTTTATCTAGTACATCCATCAATGCTTTCTAACTTTATCTGGTACATCCATCAATGCTTTCTAACTTTATCTAGTACATCCATCAATGCTTTCTAACTTTATCTAGTACATACATCAATGCTTTCTAACTTTATCTAGTACATCCATCAATGCTTTCTAACTTTATCTAGTACATCCATCAATGCTTTCTAACTTTATCTAGTACATCCATCAATGCTTTCTAACTTTATCTAGTACATACATCAATGCTTTCTAACTTTATCTAGTACATACATCAATGCTTTCTAACTTTATCTAGTACATCCATCAATGCTTTCTAACTTTATCATGTGTCTGTTTCTCCAATGTTTAATCATCTACGTGTTCCATAGAACATTTCCAACATTAATAGAGAAGATCAGGCAGCTTTACTGAAAACTCATTTACCGACCACAGAGCTTTAATTTAAGGTAAGACATCTGACTCAGGACATGGGAACTTATAATTTACTTTTATAGACAAACTGCAAGAAACTCAAGACCATATTGATGTGTTTCAAACAAGATGCCTGGCTAATCTAGTCACATCCGCTTGAGTCTGAACAATAGATGGCACTTCTGTAAGTACAACTAAACCAATTTGTGACGTGTTTGTAACCCCAAAGAACCCCCCTCTAATCAATTACTGTAGAGTGTAGAACCCAGGGACGGACTGACTGCAATGTAGTTATATTCTACCTAGACTAAAACTGGAGAATAATGAATGGTTTTCTTAGTTTGTCTTAAAGTGGTTTGAAAAGCTAAAACCTCTCAATATATATTTACATTTAATGTGAGTTTTGAAAGATGTTATACATAAAGATGTTCAAAGGATGGCATGAATGGATGAAAATTTTTATTGAAGTGTTTGCATATTGTCAATTTTCAGGTGAAAATATTGTGTGTCTAGTTTCATTATTGCATTGAAAAAACAGAATTGTTAGTAATATTTTTTCTAAAAAAGTGTCTAAATGTAATATGAAATTCCAGGCAATCTGACGGTAAATATTGGTTTTGAGAAAGTTTTAATACAAAAACTAATTCACCAGCCACAAACATTCTGAATATGTGTATTATCTAGGATAACCTTTCTCCTCAGTACATATCTTATTTAATTGGCTGAGTGGCTCAGCTATATAACCAAAGAGACACTGTCTGTATTCACTGATATTGGTCAATATTACAACTGGTTGTGACAAACACAAGGAACCGGCTCATGATATTGAATTGGGTGACACTATTGGACGTTATCATGTTTTTAGATATTCATCTTATAGTAATATATTTCAAGTGATATTGTAAGTTTTATAGAGCATTATAGAGGTTGTTATAAATTTGATGCGTTTTAATACTGTTTTTTCTTCATGTGTCGATAATAACAGGACCCTGTTTCAAGAAATGTCTGCTGGACAAGTGCATAATAACAGGACCCCGTGTCATGTACAGCCCTCCCCCACCCGTCAACCTCCCATCTTTCCTTGGACATGTGCCAATACAGCTTCCATAACAAACAAATCCTGCCATTTCTCTTCACATTTACCACTTACAAAGCTACCAATTGGTTTTACACTTAAACCTGTGAAGTTTCCATTAGTTACCAAAACAAAAAGTGATTTTTGTTTATTTTAGGAAACATCTAACTACAACAACTAATCCCAAATCTAAAACAGGTATCTGCTACGTAATTTCCTTTTGAATGTCAAGATTGTTTACCTGTCAAAGACGAAGGACGAAATCTAATCAAGTCCACAACAACAGGCAAGGAATTGTTAGTTCTGACAATTTAAAAGTAAGATTCGTTAAATATGTACCTATTCAAAATTTGTTTTGACTGTCAAGCCGATGTCAACACTTATAAGGTCATTATAAGGTCATAAGGTCTTCTTTACAGTCAAAGTCAATAAATTTCAACTGTATAAAGTCACCAACTCACTAGAGAATCATCACAGAGTCATCTCTAAGGTCATAAGGTCACTAGTAAGGTCATTATAAGGTCAACTGTAAGGTCACCAGCGCACAGGAAGGTCACTTTAAGAACAGCTGACTAGAGGATCACTAGCAAGACTGTTAAATCTTATTGAGATCAACACAGGGTCATCTGTAATTTTATAAGGTCTCCTTGAGATCATCACAAGTTCACCTGTAAGGTCATCATCAGATCAATTGTATCATCAAACAGCCCTAGAATTATATCCTACATATATACCTTTATTAATCATTCACACATAAAAAGAGATATCAGAGAAATCTTGGAGTCCACTACGGTTTGTTACCTATTTGTTCTTTAAATATTCAATCGTTTCACTTCTTTTTTGTTCCTTCTTTCTTCTGTTTTTGCTCTTTATAGTATGAAATTTGTAAATTCCTCTTAGAATTAGCAATAATATTCTCTAATAGTCAAAATCGA